TATGTATGTATGTATGTATGTATGTATAAATAATATTCAAGTATGTAAATAAAATACACATACATTGATCGAAATTTCATTTATATAAATGATTTTACAAATATTTTGATTATATATGTTGAATACATACATATATGTGTGTGTGTGTGTATGTGTGTTCAATTATTGTTATGTATTCCAATGCCTTTTTTCATATATTGATAAACTCGTGTATACTCTTCTGCCATAGATGACAGATGGAAAAGAAGAGAGGGGAGCGTACCAGTAGTTTAAAGCTCGTACATGGAGATGGAGAACACATAAATGAAAAAACCCAGAGATTGAGGGATTCAAAGAAAAACCAGGGATTAAAGGATTTAAAGATTGAAGTTGAAACGTACCAAGAGAAGGGGAAGAGTTTTTTTAGTTAAATGTGAACATTAATTTGCAAAATTACTAAGAAAAAAAAAAGTCAAAATGTGGAAAAAAGAGGAAAATATGATCTTTACGTCGAGGAGATGTCACGTCAGCCTATCATGATTCTGCTTTATAGATATATATATAGATATGAGCGTTTGATTATAAGATTGAAGGTTCATAATTTTTTTTAACCCTTTAAGTTTTAAAACAATGATGAAAATTAAAATGAGGTGAAATGAAAACCCAATTAATTTATACTGATTGACATAATGACATAGAGTTAGACCTGTAAACGTACCCAACATTCAGCGAACCGTTCGGCGGGAAGTTTATTTATGTTTGTTTATTTAATAAATAAATGAAAATGGACAAGTTTTTTTTTTTTCATTTAGATAAAGGAACGAACAGTCAACATCGTTCATTTATGTTCGCTTACGTTCGTGAATGTTCGTTCATTTCACATATAAATATATTTATATAAACTTTAGTTTACATATAAGGAGATTTTAAATCTTGAAACTTGGCCCATAAAGAGTTAAACTCCTTTTTGGGCCAACTTGGCACTTTACTTAAACTTAGTCCATTGCTTTATTTATGTTTGTTTAAGCCTGTTCATTTATGTACGTTCGTATATGTTCATTCACGTTCATTTAACACTTTAATGAACGGACATAAACACACCTACTTTCTAAATGAACAAACACGAACACCTAAAATTTTGTTTGTTTAATGTTTGTGTCCGTTCGTTTGTTCTGTTAACTTAAACAAACGAACATGAACAAAACCACATTTGTGTTCGTTCGGTTCGTTTACAGGCCACATAGATTGTTACTCTGAATAGTCAATATCGTTACTGCAAACAATGTCAATCTATATATATATTAAAGGTATATCATATGATGTTTTTCTAAGGTAAAACAAATTGACGATGATATGTAAATTTGATATGGTATATAATATTAATTTAGAAATAGTTATTGATTGATTTTGCGTCCAGGAACATTTGGAAAAACATGGATTATCAATGTTATTTATGATGATAAAAACAATATATTGAAGATTTTTTTCATTCTTATCGAGGGTTCTTTTTTATATCTTGCACAAGACCTACAAAATGTCATGAACGAGCTTGTTTGGGCAAAAAGTTGATTACCAACAACCCTAACCGGACCATACGAAACCTGCCTCATCGTGAGGGAGCCATATTTTGACTCAATCGACGATTTGAGGGTTTGAGGCTAGTAAGTAGGGGTGTAAATGATACGAGACAACTCGCGAGCTACTCGAGATTGACTTGGTCAATGCTCGGTCAACAATCGATTCGAATAGGCTCGGCTCGAACTCTACTCAACACATTAACGAGTCGAGAGTCGAGTCAAGCTACCCAATACTCGACTCGAAAAGCTCGTGAGATACTCGATTATGTTATATAAAATTAGTTTTAAAATATAATCAGTTTTATAATATAATTTGTAAAATATAAATAATAAAAATATCTTATATTTTTATAAATCTAAACAAAATTATGCATTTTTTAATTAAAAAAATTAATCAATTATTTTTTATTAAAATCACAATTAAAATAAGATAAAGAAAAACTATAAAAAGGGTTAATGAAATTGTTCCACATTGAAAGAGAGATAGTAAAGGAAAGAAGAAAAGATGTTATAATAAAAAGAGAAAGGTGAACGAAATTTCTAACTTTGTGTTTTTGATGATGAAGTTTGAAGTTGATCTCTTTAATTTTATAAAAACTAAGAAAACACATTTAAGTTTTAAAATTTCTAACAGAAAAACTCTAAAATTTCATAAATTTCAATGGGTGAGCATGGTTCGAGCTTGAGAAATAGTTATCGAGTTCGAGTCGAGCTTTGATTTTCACTACTCGCGAGTTTTCGAGTCGCGTATAGTGATACTTGAGCTCGACTCGCATCATTTACACCAAGACTAGCAGAGGGCATAGGGTTGAATCCGTCTTGTATTTAAGTAAAATCATCTCACTTCTTTACCAACTAAGCTACATCCCCGATACATATTTGTTGAGTAATTAAACAAATTATTTAACTCACGTGTCGATTTAAATAAATAAAAGACCGTTTGGAAACTAAAAGTTGACTTGGAATTCCAAGTCCTATAGCCATGGCCCTACCATAATGAATATACGTACACTTAATTTTGATTAAGAATATCTTTAGTTTGATTTTAAAGATCAAAAGTACAAGAAGATCTTCAAGTTCAAATTTAAGGAGGAATAAAAATTCCTTTGCGGTCACGGAGGCTCAAATGCGGTGACTCCGGGCTATCTGTAAAGCAGGTGGTCGTCCTGGGATTAGTCGGTTCGCATAGCGGGTTGTATGTCGATATCATAGAGCGAGACTTGTTTGATCAACGATTAGATTTATTTATTCCTTATGCGTGACAAGAGCTGTATTTTCATCAAGAACTGGACCACCACCGAAAGGACGCCACATATTTATATTCATCATGAATAATGAACTTGAACTTTTTACAACATTCATAATGAATGTCCCAGACACGTGGAGCGTTCTCAATGGTTTCCCTGATCGTAATGAAAATGCGGTTCTCAACCAAACTTAATGCTTAATACAGATAGTTAGATACGTTAATTAACAGATGACGAAAGTTTCACCCTCTTTATATGCTTTTCTTGCACATGACAAAAGGTCACCCGCTTTATGGTCGGTCAATATAACATGTTTGTATCACATGTGATCCTAAAACTTTTCGCTTTCTCGCAAATTGACCGCCTTCTCGTTTGATTCCCGAGTGTCTAGACGAGATTTTCACTACATCTTTGAGCGTTAACCGGTGTCGTCACAACTCAAAAACTATCCAATTTCAACTATAAACTCAAATGGCTCCAAACAGCAGTTTGTGATTCTGTAAACCCCAATAAACCAACAAGAAAAACAAAAGAATGTTCACTTTCTTACTTTCTTAAATGGTTTGTAAAGCACATTTGTCACGAATTTGGTGCGAAATCGTTGGGATGAACTCAGAGCGACAACGGGTTGACTGCCACCGTCTCTCTTAATGTACAAATGGTTCAGATTAGCCGATAAAGGCTTTTGAAGATCCCGTTGGGGGTTCTTGGAGGAAGATGGCTGATTTAGAGGCATCTGTTGTAGCAGTGGGGGCATTTCAGGCAGTTTCTTGTCAAAATCGTCTAACGTGATGGCTGGATTGTTGTAGCTTGATATTGGGGAAGACGGGCATTCGGGTTCTTGATCTCTTTCCGTATTTTCGGGGTAATTATCCTGAAACGAAGATCAAAAATTCTAAATCTTTAATATGTCAAGAAACAACAAATGTGTCCAAGGACATGTTTGTTAGCAACTTATAAGCTTAATGAGATACAACTTATTTGGTCGGCTATACATGAATGTTTGGTAGTAGCTTAAATGATATTGAAAGTGACTTATTCATTAAGCTTTGAGGGAGGAGCTTTATACCAATCGATCTAAACCATGAAGAAAATACACTAAATTATGTATCAGATGATCAAAACAGAGAAACAGAACGGTATTGCAAGAAATGAAGCATACCTTCAAGTCTAAAACATTGAAAACGTTCCCCAAATGATCGCATTCGTGTGGTAAATCAGGATCATAAATCCACTGCCCGTCAACAACAAAACGATAATGGTAAACACCGGCCTTTAGCACCTTAAAGATAGAGAAACCGCTGCCCGAACCCTCTAATAGTTCCCTGATCAAATACGATACTTCAAACATAACGATCAAGAAAACAACTATAACACGAAAACGAGCAATGCTATTTGAACCTTATCTTCCAATCATCCCATGATCCTTCAATGGCAACCTGTGTGCCGCCATGAATCCAACTGATCACTGCTGGTATGCTCTTTTCTGGACTTGCAGATCCATAATTTCTTGTTGACTCATTGAATCCACCTCTTTCAATCTGCATAATCATATTAGGATTTTGTGGGAGTTTAGAAGTTAGTATTACCAGATTCTACAACTTTTTCAAGACTGTTTATTAAACGATGAACGGAACCCACAAACGAAAACCTCAAACAGTCGAAACGAATAGGGTTTAGAAACAAGAACTCGAATTCAAGTTGCCAAGATTGAGCTTTTCAAGTTTCCAAAATCCGTGATCATACTTGCACAACTTCTTGATGAACAGAACTGAATCAAAGTAATGTTGGCCAGTAACAGAATGTGCTATCAACTACTTGAACCATCTTGATTGCAAATAAACCACAATTCAGTGCCTACTTTCTTATTGAACTTCTAGATGGGTTGTGGCACACCGGTTAAGGACTATGGGATCAAATCCAGACGTTGCCAAAACCCTTTACGGCTATAGAGGTTCAACTGCGATGACTCAAACGCAATTATGGTTACCAAGAAAAACAGAATACCAACCAACCAACCAACCATCAGAGACATTGAATCTTGAGAATGTTCATCAGCTCATATAACCACCACCAGCCACACACACATACACATACACATACACATACACATACACATACACATACACATACACATACACATACACATACACATACACATACACATACACATACACATNACATACACATACACATACACATACACATACACATACACATACACATACACATACACATACACATACACATACATGTAGAAGGATGAGTTTACCTGAGGAGGTGGAGGTGGAGGTGGAGGTGGAAGAAGCCTATGCGCACCATAGCTGCTGCTGCTAACTTGCGCCTGGCCACATTCCATGTAGTATTCCCTACTACTCTTTTCTTCTCTGCCACTTACATTACCCATTTACTGTAAAACTGAAGTTAGAAATTAACCCTCATTCAGAAAAACCCTAATCTTGTTTTTGATCAGAAGACAACTTCAACAGTCAAGAAATCATCAAATGCAATGAAGAACAGAAGAATGGCAAAAACCCACTTCAGAGAATGGGGATTAAGGGGTTTTATACATACCCAACTCTTTGTTTGTTTTTTTTTTTAAATAAAAGGGAAAAATTTGCAGAGAATTAATTAATCAGAAAGAGGGAGAGGAGAGGGAGAGCAGGTAACATGATTTAGCAGCTTTGGTATGATTGATGGAAGGGCCTTTTTGTCCTTTCCAACTCTTTCTCTCTCTCTAAAACACTGGTTCTTGATCTTGATGGAGAAAATGGAAACTGTAGACTCTCCAATGAGTTTGGAGGATCACTTTGTTTGAGGGTTTATATTTTATTTTTATTTATTTATCTTTTTACAAAGGAGTATTTGCATCATTGTTTAATTATTATTTTTTTATAATAATAATGAATATATAATAGTTTTATGTGGTAAATTTAAAATAGTAGTTTTTAACAAAGATTTTGGATTTTTTTTCTTCAATTTTTTTGACTTCTTTGTTAATATAATTTAATTTCAATTAAATATTTTAAAATTTCTTATTGTAATACATCATACATGTAAGTATTTAATTTATCAAATTAATATAAAAAAAAACAAAGATATATATATATATATAGGGGACTAATCAAATGAGAACTAATTAATTTGTGGTAACTGTGAGATCCAATCTCAACCACAAATCAATAGATAAATTAGAAAATTTATAATTTTGGTAATTTTGAATTAAAATTTTAATACAAAGACATTTTAGATATTTTAAAACTCTCCTCTCTCTTCTCTTCTCTCCCCGTCCTCCGGTGATACCACAATGGTATCACAATGCATCATATATGTGATTGGGTATCACACTGAGGTCGTTTGTGTAGTCGATCGGAGATGTAACACAGTGGTATCACAATGCATCTTATATATGCTTGGGTATCACACTGTGTCTTTTGTTTAACATAGTCAATATTTTTAGGTATCACCAGAGGACGGAGGACGGAGAGAGAAGAGATGAGAGAGGAGAGAGGAGAGAAAATACCTAAAATGATTGGCAATTGCTGAATGGTTTGATACAAAATGATTGTGGTTAGAATGATTAATAGGCTCTTATGATATAGTGCAAAATGAAATATAATTGTTTGTTAATTGTGTACAATGAAATTAGGGCTCTTAATGGTTAAGAGATATTCATGATACAAAATCATTCAGATGATTTTAAAACCATTAAGAGACAGACTTTTTTTTGTCAAACAAGATTCACCTCTTAACGATTCAGAGGTTGCCTCCTAATGGAATTGTTAAGAGGTAAACAAACAACCCCTAACCTGAGTCTCTATTATAACCTCATTCAGATGATGTAACACCTCATTTAACCTTATCCTACATTAACATACTCTGACAGTTATATATTCATAAGAGAATGCATGAATATAAACTAACGTAAATTGATAGTGCATGAAATTATAACAAAATCATGAACATAAATTAACACAACTGAATTTTCTTGGACTTGTTGATGATTATGGTTTGGATTGCCATTATATTATATAGACATAATTTTGGAGATGTTTATGATTATCCATCACACATACACATAAACATATATAAGTGGAGGTTCAAACGAGAATACATCTGTTTTACGAGAATGTGAGAATATTTATGAGCCTCCAAAAAATTTAACTCATAATACATCTGTTGATTTTTGATCAAGATTTTATATGTTTTTCTTAAACATAATATTGTTTATGTAATTTTGGTCCAAATAATAAATATTCAACAATATAAAAAATTAAATATTATTTAAAAGAAATAAAAATATGAGAATTATTGGTATGTTACCCCAAAAGAATATGGCCCCCAATATGTGAAGGCAAATTTTCATAGAATGGTCCTACAAGTATATATATATGGCACACTATCTTTGCCTTGTGATGCCCATATAGGTAATAGGTCCACACCATCATGTGTTACTTAACAACAACTTCCATCATAACCTACATAAACCATATATATATACATGGTTGGGTTCACGTGAGACCAAAGGTTTTTCGTGAGACCCATAAGACCAATTTATGTTCATTGATCAATTTTATAAGTAATGATCTAATGGTCTAAAGTTGTACGGTGATAATTTTGTGATTATTGAGAACTCTCGTGGTAATTTTGTGATTATGAATGCTCAAATTGTAGATCTAATCTAATGGTTGAGAATTGGTCTTACGGGTCTGACGAAAAACTCTTGGTCTCACGGGTCTGACGAAAAACTCTTGGTCTCACATGATCCCAAGTGTGTGTGTGTGTATATATATATATATATATATATATATATATATATATATATATATAAACATCCACCAATTATTAAGCATCAAAATACCCTAAAAGACACTTTTTTGTGTAAATCAAATGCTATCACTCTGTGTGTAATACGCGTGATTTAAATATTGATATAACTGTAGTTTATGTTTTGTTTTTGAAAAGGTAATTCATATACCTTGATAGAATAAACCACATTTCGGTGGTATAAAACAAGCTTTTACAATACTTTCTTCATGATCATATGCTTTGATGCTACATACTGACTAAGAAGTTGTGATAAAGCCATGTTTATCATTTTCGATAACTGATGACAATTCTCTATATAACCACGATCGTGTTAATAGCCTCACATGCCACCATAATCAACACACAACATAAAAAGCTTAACGACTTGATGATGTCAACACAACATAACGAGTCTTCTCTGTTGTTTTGAGATGATAAAGAACTATTGCAACGAACCATGTTAATAGCTTCACGTGGCTACGACTTAACATAACCTTGATCGCTGGTTCCATCCACACAATCAGTTGATGAATAAATTAGCAATAATTGTCGAAAACGACATATGATGCGCGAGTGTGATGTCAGTGCAATATGGAAGTTTCTACAGAGAGTGGGCATCTATCCCGCTTTATTTCTTCCAATGAATGGCAACAACCTCAAAAGCAATGGAAGATGGGGAATCCTTGAGATGAAGAATACAAACAATTGAGAGGTATGGATTTTGAGAGCCTTGATGCCAAGAATCAATGGCTTTGAATAAAGAAAAAAAGGGTTGTTGTTTGTAGAATATTTGCATACATTAGAAAGAGGCTAAATTGGTTGTTAGATGTTAGCATCACATAGGTGGAGGGATTCTTGAGGAGTTATCTTCATAGGCTCCACCATTCATGGACTTTTCTTTATTCAACTTCTCTCAATTTTATATATATATATATATATATATATATATATATATATATATATATATATATATATATATATATATATATATATATGGGCCTATTCAAGGGAGAACTGACTTGTTTGTGGTAACTGTGAGATCCAATCTCAACCACAAATCAATAGATAAATAAGGAAATTTATAATTTTGGTAATTTTTAATGCAAAGACATTTTAGGTATTTTCTCTCCTCTCTCCTCTCTCCATCCCCATCTTCCGGCCTCCGGCCACCGGCCTCCAGTGATACCACAGTGTGATACTCAAGCACATATAAGATGCATTGTGATACCACTGTGTTAGATATCCGATCGACCGCACAAATGACCATAATGTGATGCCCAATCACATATAAGATGTATTGTGATACCACTGTGGTATCACCAGAGGACGGAGGCCGGGGGATGGAGGCCGAGAGATGGAGAAAGAAGAGAGGAGAGAGAAGAGAAAATACCTAAAATGTCTTTGCATTAAAATTTTAATTAACAATTACCAAAATTATAAATTTTTAATTTATTTATTGATTTATGGTTGAGATTGGATCTCACGATTACCACAAACTAATTAGTT